CAGGATGTGTGACCTTTAGTGGTCATGCATAAAAGTACAGGATGTGTGACCTTTAGGGGTCATGCATAAAGTACCAGTCTGAGAATGTGTGGCCGTTAGGGGCATGCATAAATTACCAGGATGTGTGACCGTTAGGGGCCATGCAATGAGTACTAGGATGTGTGACCTTTAGGGGCCATGCATAAAGTACCAGGAAGTGTGACCTTTAGGGGCCATGCATAAAGTACCAGGATGTGTGACCCTTAGGGGTCATGCATAAAGTACCAGGATGTGTGACCTTTAGTGGTCATGCATAAAGTACCAGGATGTGTGACATTTAAAGTTCATGTATAACGTACCAGAATACGTGATGTTTGGGGGTCATGCATAACGTACCAGAATGTGTGACCTTTAGGGGCTATGCATAAAGTACCAGGATGTGTGACCTTTAGAGTTCATGTATAACGTACCAGAATATGTGATGTTTGGGGGTCATGCATAACGTACCAGAATGTGTGACCTTTAGGCGTCATGCATAAAGTACCAGGATGTGTGACCTTTTAACCTACCAGAACGTGTGACCTTTAGGGGTCATGCATAAAATACCAGAATGTGTGACCTTTAGAGTTCATGTATAACGTACCAGAATATGTGATGTTTGGGGGTCATGCATAACGTACCAGAATGTGTGACCTTTAGGGGTCATGCATAAAGTACCAGGATGTGTGACTTTTAGAGTTCATGTATAAAGTACCAGAATATGTGACGTTTGGAGGTCATGCATAATGTATCATACCTGTGATCTGGGCATTATTAAGGCATACGGTTGACCATTATGAAGGAGATGATACCATTTTATTGTTTCCCCTTGTAAAACTAGCACAGCTTGCCTCTCAGGAAGTGAGTCTTTGTGCTCTAGTGAAGTCTTGTGCACAGAATGTTCTCCATGATGACGAGACTCTCTCGCATTGCCGCTAGGATTAGATGCAGCGTCTCTGTCTGTATCAACTTTTGTTATACTCTCAATACCCTGCTTACGAGACACAATATCTGGCATTCCAAGAAGAGTCACAGCAACATTACTAGATAACTGGATGGATTTCTCACCATTGACAGTCACTGGTTTCACATGCAGAAATTGTTTGTCATTGACCACAAATAACTGCACGACATCAGTTGTTGGTTTCATGCCAGTGTGGTTTGTTTCTGGTCTTTCTACACTAGTAGATATTGCTGTGGAATGAGAGATGAAAATATCAATCAATCAATTAATTCTTTCTGATAATCTGAGCAAACAATGGCCAAACTACGTTCACATACTAGCATAGGGGGTTCAAATAGAAACTATGGTATGTAAATATGGTTACAAGAACTCACAAATAAACATATTTCTAGAAATACAAATGGAAGTGAGTGTGTGAAAGAAATAGCTAGGGTGTTTCTCTTCACAGAAATGTCCATGGTAATTTGAGATTGTTGACTGATGAATTTCCCAACAATTTCACTTTACTGGCAAAATTCGAAAACAAATTATTTCTCGCAAATTTAGTATGATCATAGCAAAATTTGTGATTCATCCCATCCGTAAGTCAGTTATTAATCACCGATAGTGTAACTATTAAATTGTTGTTGTTTCACAAATCACAATATCGCTATGACTCCCTATTTTTGCAGTTGTAGAAGATGTAGGACACTTGCGTGATCTTGTCAAAACTGTACTGCTCTTGTTGTATTCTCGCTTCCTCTTCAGTGATACAGTGTCATTACATCCAGCATTATCTCGATTTAGTTTCTTGTGGAAATTAACTGCATCAGACATAGAAAACTGCACATAGCTACGAATTTGTGACTTTTCAATGTACTTGGAGCAGCCCAACTGTTCTACAGACGGAAAGCTGCTGATGAGAAAACGTTCTACCACAACTTGGTATCTGTTCAGTCTAAGTAGCTGACCTAAACACCAAGACTTTACATATGGACAGTTGAAACGTCTTGTTTGATTCTGTGACTGAGTGTTCTGGTATAGGCAAGTTGGATCGCAGGTATGACTGTGATCTGAATCGTCAAGATCAGCAATTACACAGTCAATAGAACCAGTCTGGTCCACTAACTGCAAGAGTCCGGTCTTATTACAGACTTCTAAGTGACCGATGAGCAACTGAGAGAAAAAAAAAACATAGCAAATCTATTACAACCTTGCCTTTCAATTATTTTTAAATTGGTAAACTGTTAATGGAAGGACGAACACAGTACGTTAGATACAGTAAAATGCTGAAAATGACAAAGCACCTGATATTTTGCTGAATGAAAGAGTCTATCTTATGAAAACAATCACTTCCCTATAATGTAAAAGCCGACTGTACACTTGCGATCATTTTGAATTGAAAATAAATGGAACTGAGGTTTATAATCCAAAAATTAGTTTAGTTACCCCAAATATCCATACAAAAGAAGAGTAAAAATTACATCAAACTTGTTTGCAGTTTTGGTTCTCAATTGAGATTCACAATCTAGAAATTAGTTTACCGTACTTCCCCAATCATAAGCCCAGGGGCCTGAACATGTAAAATCGGGAAAATTAGGGGATGGGCTTATGCTCGAGGACCACCTCAGAAAAGATAATTTGTTGGGGGGTTTAATATTGTAACCATCTTCCCAGCCATGAAAAATTATCCAAATTACATCTTTCATTCACAGTACCGGTCTCGGAGAAATATTACATCTTTTACACTTCCCCTGATCACGGTTCTAAGCAAACTATTGAATAAACTGTTTGATAAAAAAGCCTTCCTAACACACCATTTTCTTACCATGGTAAATATTTTATTTTACGTCAGTAAAAATACGTGGTCACGACTGTAAAATAGAATTCCTGTGTCACACGCCGCCGCTTACGTGAAAACAATGGAAGGCTTCAAAAGCAGTCACACCTCGCAGAGGTGTTAAATTTGCCACAACGGACATGAAAACTACGATGGTTGTTACTGTTGTAGTTCGGACACAGAGTTAATTAGCACACACGAGATAAACCATAAACATGAATTGATAGTATATGTGAAGAAATAAAGTACATGTTGTGTGACAAGTTCCTCTATCCCTGTCGTGGACAAGAAGTTTGTTTAACCGCAACCCGGATTCAAACAAACAAAAATGTCTGGCGTTGCTTGACCGAGATAGAGGGGCCGTGTGTAGGCTCAGAAACTAATTACAAGATCTTTATCATTATCTTCAGTGTGGAATGTTTTCGATCGTACACAAGCTCTCAAAGCAATTTCCGCCATTGTGTTTTTCAGCATGATTTGACCTGAAACAACTTTATTTGACAGGTCACATCTTTCGTTAACCAATCAAAATGCTGTGTCATACATATGGAGTTTTCCGATTAAGTAATTTTTTCATCGCAATGCAGAAGTGAATTACCCTGATGTTAAAATGTGATCTATTAACACTGATTTTGACAAAAAGAAACAATTTTTGCAAATTTTCAAAAGGTAAACTGAGGGTGGGTGAAGTATTTAAGCCTTTCACGGTCATTAACAAGTCACGTCGAAGAATAGTTTGCTTTTTCACCCCCCATTCAATGGACACAATTATTCAGAAAAGTAAAACGATGTTCAATGACCAGGTTTCACAACTTGATGATTACATTTTTGGCGTTTTGAAAACTACTACCAAAAAGAAATATGGACTTCAGTATTGCAACAACGGGGTTCATCGTGAGTAAATAACAGAATAGAAAAGATGTGAACCATGTTCCGTAAGTTCGCCCGCCATGCACTTTAAAATTAATGCAAAAGCAGGAACCACACCAATAACAATTTTTATACAATGAATCGACACCCGGTAAAAACACCCTTGGCCTATACTCAGGGATGTCCTAAACTCGTTAAATGTCTAAAACAGAGGGCTGGGCTTATACTTGGAGAGGGGCTTATGATCGGGGGAGTACGATATTTACCCCAAATATCTATTCAAAAGAAATATTAGATTTTAAAACAGAGTCTACCATTAAATACTAGAAAGCTATGGTTACTCACCAATGGCGGTTTGAAATCTGCAGGTTCCATGAGGTCATAGCGCCAATATAACGCTTCATTCAAATTTGTAGTCTGTTGCGATACTAACAAATCTACAGGTCTCCAGCTTTCTTCTCGAAATGCCATCTTTTCTAGCATTTGTTTAAGTTCAGCCATAGTAGGAATTGTGTACAGATCAGACTAGGAATTAAAACAGTTCAGAAAATTGCATAATTTAATGTAATTGCAAGAAAGTTGCTGTGATTTGCTGTAGAGATTCTCAGTAAAATGTTATAAAATTAGACAGTTTTCTCAAATTTCATTTCTCTCAAAAATGAAATGAAACCACACGAGCAAATTTAATTGAAATGTACAATGTATCCATTTATGATATGCTAAATATCAATGAAAATGATACATGGATGACACTGACATGTATGATGTATGTGCCAAATACGAATGAAAATGGTACATAAATCTTGGAAATATAGTAGTAAGGCCAAAAAGTCAGGCACACATGATCTGATTTTGAAACAAATTGTCATGGACATGTATAAAGTGTGTGATAAAATTTGAATGAAAACTGACAAAGCATGTCCAAGATACCACATATAAAAAAACAACAAGATGCTTGCCAGTCGGCCATCTTTGATCCAATTGCGAAAGAAATTGTCATGGACATGTATCCTAACATGTATAATCTATGTACCAAGTTTGAATGAAAACTGACAAAGCATGTCCAAAATACAACATTTTTAAAAAACAAGATGGCTGCCAGTCGGCCATTTTGAATCAAATCGCTAAATCACTGCATGTGCACATGTCACATGTACCACATACAGTACTAGGCACATGCAAAAAATGAATGGAATCTGTCCAAAGGATTCTGAAATCCAAACGAGGACTAATACCAGAGCAATGATGCATTTTGTGGTATGTGATAAAGGATATCATCATTATTATTTTCAAACGATCCATTACCTGTGGACAAAATTGAAGGAAATATCAGGAAGGAAAGACAACCAATCAGTCTGTTTCAATCACTGACAAACATTGGGAAAACTCCAAGATACTGAAAAGTATTGAGAAAATGTTTTCAAACATTTATGAATAAACCAACCTATGAGAAGTGTGAGAAAATTGCAAAGGTAAGGGTTACCTTGGAAACTGCATCTGATCCAACCACAGAGCATGGATGTCTTGGATCAAGAAACTCAGCATATATATTACGAGATAATTTCGGTAATAATGGTTTCTGATCTGATGGAGATGCTATTCTTAATATATTAAAAAAGACACCAGGAATATTCTGCTCTGGTCTGAAAAGAAGACAACAAATAATTATTTTAATATACATATAATTTGTTGTTATCACCACTATAATAACAAAAAATAAAAATGATACAAACTTATTTGCAGTTTTGGTTCTCAATTGTTAGACACAGTTATCAGAAACTGCTGATCAAAAGTCATTGAATGAAACATCTTGTTATTTTGAACAGTTACTTAGGATAATGATTACCATATATCACCTTCTATGTATCATTGTTATACATATGTACTATTATTAGTTAGGCACACATTATTATCACAGTTAGGCAAACATTGTTATCAAAGTTAGGCATAATTGTATTTCAATAGTTAGGCAAACATTGTTAGGCATAATTGTTATTCAATAGTTAGGCACACATTATTATCACAGTTAGGCATATTTGTTATTCAATAGTTAGGCACACATTGTTATCAAAGTTAGGCAGAATTGTTATTCAATAGTAAGGCACACATTTTTATTAAAGTTAGGCATAATTGTTATTCAAGAGTTAGGCAAACATTGTTATCACAGTTAGGCAAACACTGTTATTCAATAGTTAGGCATAATTGTTGTCATCAATTAAGCATACTTTGTTAAAACCAGTAGGTGTACATTGTTATCACTAATTAGCACACAATGTCACCACCAGTTAAGCATAAATTTGTATCACTTGTATGTAAACATTATCAGTTAAGCACACATTGTTATCTTTAGTTACGCAGACATTATCATCACTAATTAGGCACATATTGTTATCTCCAAGTATGCAGACATTATCATCACTAATTAGACACACATTGTTATCTCTGGTTACGCATAATTTATTATCACTAATTAGGCACATATTGTAATCTCTAGTTACGCAGACATTATCATCACTAATTAAGCACATATTGTTATCTCTAGTTATGCAGACATAATCATCACTAATTAGACACATATTGTTATCTCTAGTTATACATACATTGTTACCACACTGGTTCAGTTCACTTACTTGTTGTGTTTTGGTATATGCATGCCCATTAGCAGCTTTTCACTGAATAAAAAAAAAACATTAGATAACACCGTAAACATTTGACAATGCAAAGTAATTAAAATCAGCAGATACTACTATATATGAAACACATGTGTATGAATACCAGTCAATGTAACATGTTCACTTTATTGAGTTCTTTAATCAGGTATGAGTAAATACAAAGAGAAAACTAGAAATGGTACTCAATTTAGACTGGTTTTCAATTTACATAGAATTTCGGTGAAGACGGGTTTTACTAGTACATCATCACTATGAATGTTGAGAGGGAAACCTGAGGAAAATAAGTAACTTGATTCTAAAGAGACAATCTGTATGTACAACATACCTCAAAATTTGAGGTACAAATTTCTTCTTCATCTGGATTGCCATGTCAACCAGCCATTGATAATACACAAGGCTAAGATTATTGGAGTACAACAGGTGCATGTAGACGCTTGTGTTGGTCAGAAATGGCTGAAAATTAACCATTGAATGCCAAATTTAATAATTTAATAATTCAAGGGTAATCAAAAATTATTTTTCCATTTCGTTGAAAAAGTGAAAAGAAAATTATGTATAAACACATAAAAATGTTTCAAAAAAATTATTGCAATCAAGTGAATGAATCGATCTATTACCCTGTATGCTGTCAGTAAAGGTGAGAACTCTGTAATGAGAACAGTACTGGGAGTACAACAACACAGTCGAATCCTGGGAATCTATATAAAGATAATATCATGAAATCATCAATTATTCATTTCTGGACAGTAACTTTACATATTAAATGATGTCAACATTTCTCAAAGGTTTCCCATAATCTCAGTAAAATACACAAATCTGATTTCTGATTGGGAGTGCCAAGAAAACATGCGTCCAATCAAACAAAAATAAGAATCTACCCAAGGTATAGCAGTGATGATATGGCAGAATAAACAACCCTTACAAATTTAGATAGTGCATGTATATAATGAAAATAACAAACATCAACAATGAGTCATTTAACAACTTTCCAAAAAAATTATATGTCTGACATTAATTTCATTATTATTCATCAGATATCTTAAAATTTCCCAGTATCAAACAATACCTTATTAAGAAATGTGAATTCCGAATGACGAGCAATATTTCAATGATGGCAGACATGTTTCAATAGGAGGTTTATATTTGGCGAGAAAATTCCATTTATTTTTTAGGTTCCAAGACCAGTACCAAGTGTTCAAGAATTCAAAGACGTATAATTAAATAATTAGATTATTATAAAGATAGTGTACTCATAGAATGTTACATATCACTTGATAATCCCGCTGCATGTAATTCAGACATACATACCATTTTGTAAACTTTCAAATGAGCATTGAGAATCTCAACTTTGGCGCCGACTCTCATTCCTCTACCTTGGTTTGGACATGGTTGATAACCAATATATAACCTACATGAATACATAATGGTTTGGACATGGTTGATAACCAATATATAACCTACATGAAAATATAATGGTTTGGACATGGTTGATAACCAATATATAACCTACATGAAATATAATGGTTTGGATAGGGTTAATAACCAATATATAACCTACATGAAATATACTGGTTTGGACAGGGTTGATAACCAATATATAACCTACATGAAATATAATGGTTTGGACAGGGTTGATAACCAATATATAACCTACATGAAATATAATGGTTTGGACAGGGTTGATAACCAATATATAACCTACATGAAATATAATGGTTTGGACAAGGTTGATAACCAATATATAACCTACATGAAAATATAATGGTTTGGACAAGGTTGATAACCAATATATAACCTACATGAAATATACTGGTTTGGACAGGGTTGGAAACCAATATATAATCTACATGAAAATATAATGATTTGGACAGGGTTGATAACCAATATATAACCTACATGAAATATAATGGTTTGGACAGGGTTGATAACCGATATATAAACTGCATGAAATATAATGGTTTGGACAGGGTTGATAACCAATATATAACCTACATGAAATATACTGGTTTGGGGACAGGGTTGATAACCAATATATAACCTACATGAAATATAATGGTTTGGACAGGGTTGATAACCAATATATAACCTACATGAAATATAATGGTTTGGACAAGGTTGATAACCAATATATAACCTACATGAAAATATAATGGTTTGGACAGGGTTGGAAACCAATATAATACCTTATTAAGAAATGTGAATTCCGAATGACCAGCAATATTTCAATGATGGCAGACATGTTTCAATAGGAGGTTTATATTTGGCGAGAAAATTCCATTTATTTTTTAGGTTCCAATACCAGTACCAAGTGTTCAAGAATTCAAAGACGTATAATTAAATAATTAGATTATTATAAAGATAGTGTACTCATAGAATGTTACATATCACTTGATAATCCCGCTGCATGTAATTCAGACATACATACCATTTTGTAAACTTTCAAATGAGCATTGAGAATCTCAACTTTGACGCCGACTCTCATTCCTCTACCTTGGTTTGGACATGGTTGATAACCAATATATAACCTACATGAATACATAATGGTTTGGACATGATTGATAACCAATATATAACCTACATGAAATATAATGGTTTGGACAAGGTTGATAACCAATATATAACCTACATGAAAATATAATGGTTTGGACAGGGTTGGAAACCAATATATAACCTACATGAAATATAATGGTTTGGACAAGGTTGATAACCAATATATAACCTACATGAAAATATAATGATTTGGACAGGGTTGATAACCAATATATAACCTACATGAAATATAATGGTTTGGACAGGGTTGATAACCAATATATAACCTACATGAAATATAATGGTTTGGACAGGGTTGATAACCAATATATAACCTACATGAAATATAATGATTTGGACAGGGTTGATAACCAATATATAACCTACATGAAATATAATGATTTGGACAGGGTTGATAACCAATATATAACCTACATGAAATATAATGATTTGGACAGGGTTAATAACCAATTTATAACCTACATGAAAATATAATGATTTGGATAGGATTGTTAATCAATATATACATAAAGCCATTCATTTACACCTACCGCACTTTACTGTCAAGGTCATACACACCAGCCTCAGAATTAACCACTTCTGTAATGGTTCCCTGAAAGACAAATACAATTACTAATACTTTTGACTAGTGACTTTAACTGTGCAGTGCAGATTTACTGGGCAATTTCAGATTCTGTATTCTGGGAATCCAGTGTAAATATCTCCACCAGCATCACATAATTGGCTGTAATTAAGTGGTGTGTTAACTGACGTACATTAGTAGTGTTTATATGCACCCTTTACATGCAACTTACATCAAGGGTGTTCGACAAGGCACATCTATGTAACCGCTGATATACAACATTCTGAATATATTAATATGTGACCTACCAAATATGATCAGACTTGACAATTAAATTGATATACCTTAGTTTCAGAGTCAATATGTCATGTCATGTCATGTCATGGGTTGGACCAATTTTATGGGGGGGGGGGGGATAGGGGTGATGCTTTATTTTTTATTTCCACATCCAGATGCCCATGAATGTGAATTATCCTGCCCTTATTCACTTTACATCAGTAAAATGATACTTACTTTATATGAACACAATGATTCCCGCTGTACACTTCCACTAACACTACTAGTATGACTGTAGGATGGGCCTGGCGACTCACTATCACCATGACTACAAGGTGGTGGATCACTATGACATTCTGTAATTTTATCATCACATGGTGTATCTGTATTTGGAACATCAATATTTCCTTTACACAAATACCTAGTTTCCAATCTCTGTGGATGACAAAAATAAGTGTTTAAAACCAGATTGGTTTACATTGCACTTATGTAAGATGTTGTCTACAAATTACTTATAAAAGTTGTGTAAACTTGCAATACTGCAATTGGCACTGCTCTCATACAGGTCTATTGCCATGACAACATTTAATACAGACACACCTCCTATGAAATGAACTGTCCAAAACACCTCAAGCACGATTCAAAAATATCAGCCAACAAAGCTAGGTGATATTGCTTTATTCAAAAAATGTTTTATGATATTTAGCTGTAACTACAGCCATAATTAAACTTTTGTCTTCGTATTACCTTAATCGTAATTTCTTTGCAGTCTTCTTTACGTATCTTATAAAACTTTGTCTTATTTGTTGCCGCAAATACAGAGTACGCATTATTGCTACCCTGAAATATGTCAACAAGAACATTAAGCGTCAATCTTACTATAAGAATAATAACTTGTTAGCAAAGTTGGCAGTGCATTTGTTGAGTAGGCAGCCATACATATCAAGCTCACAACATTCTGTGTGTGTGTGGTACAAACATGCAATAATGCATTCATTTACGGGTGCCTCAAAAGTGAATCTGAGGGCGAGTTGTGAGGGCACGCAGAAGTCATAACACTGATGTCTGCAGGTTGATCTGCAGGTACATTCTGAGGGCACACAGAAGCCACACAAATCAAGTCTGTGTGTACTGTCAATTCTTTTCTACGTTATCGTTATGAAGTAAGCCAAGGACCAAAAAAAAAGTTTTGAAAAGTTTTGAAAAGTGACATCATTCATATTTTTGAATGCATCAAAATAAAATAAAACAAAACAATAAGTTGTACGCCACTTATTTTGAACTGTTAAGCTAAAATTCATCTCTGCTGACAATGTTTGATTAAGCGACGACCACTTGTCATAGATTATGTCTACAAGTTGTGAATGTTACATTCCATTGAAGCTGTTGGCCTTCAAGTTGCGAGTTTTTTTCCATGGGTCGATGAAACCAAAATCAATTCGGTATCAATACGTTATTTTAGAATGTTTTTTATTGGGTTTTGTTTAGATAGTTGGGGTAGCATTACCATATAAACAAGAAGTCCATGGTACAGGTCACGGCGTGGCTTGTGTCGGGGTAAGAAAACAACATAGATGCCGTTGACGTTGTGATCATTTTGAGTTTTGACAACAGAGATGAACTCAAATATTGTGTTCAAATATTAATCCAAATACGCAGTCATCGTGACTATACATCAAATATACCGCGACCGGTGTTTTGACAATCAGTTAATCAAGTCAGGCGAATGTCTGGTGGTGTTTGGAAGCCCAAACATTTTATTGGGTTGAATGTATGCAACTTTTTTGTGCCCGCTGTAAAAATCAGCTACGCTGCCAGTTCACTTGTCATTTTCATACTTCGCTGCTGTTCTTCTAACTGTTCATTTTATCATTTTATCGAGTTCGGCATCACCTCCAAAGTTAATACCGTTCACTTTCAGTCAGAGCAGACCAGGTTCACCACGAGTATTATAAAAAGTAAATCCCATATGTTGTAAGATTTGTAACGAATTTTATATTACCGGTAGTTCATTTCTCCTTAATACATTTTGGCAAATTTGTAATATTTTATACTTTTTAAATAATCCACAGTCTGACAGTGAAACAAATTCATTGAAAACAGAATGTAGGAGTAGCCACTGAACAAAAGTGTTGATGTGTTTGGTAACAATCTTACGGTTAATCAAAAATAGTACAGTCCAACTCATTCAAGATTGTGGACAGCAAACTGAAGATTGCATTCTTTCAACGCCAATCATTAACACCTGAATCGCACCAAGAAATGGTTTGGGTTTGTAAAATACCAACCGCAATCAAACTTATTTAGATTTCTATCCTCAGAATTGAATGAATACCTAGTCATTATTCATCACCTGGTATCACAAAGTATGTATGTTCAATCACGATGTTCTAACAATATTATTTAAGTACACTGAATGTCAGATTGAACATTGGCCTTGACAACTTTTAACCAGGACCTAGCTTCTTGCTTAATTCGTTCTATTGACATCTCCAAATATTCCCTACTGAAAACCAGTTTTACTGCTAGGTTAATGGATTTTATTTATAGTAATAAAGCAAAAGAATTGGTATTACACGCAGACTTGTCTTGCGTGGCATCTGTGTGCCCTCAGAACATACACGCAGATCAACACGCAGACATCAGTGTTATGGCTTCTGTATGCCCACACAACTCACCCTCAGATTCACTTTTGAAGAATGACCATAATACCAGGCATTTCCAGAAGGTGACAGCAAGCTAACTAGCCTTCTACTCTTGTTTAAAATACCACATTAACTGCTTACTTTTCTAAGAATATTATTTAACTACCTTCTTTCTTGAATCTTCACATATAAACACTCAAAGTTAAAGTCATTGAAAAATGGATGGTGAAATGCAAAGCAAAACAATAAATAAAACAGTGAATAAAAAAAGATACAATGGAACCTAGAAAAAAAAATCTAAAACATTACAGAGTCCCCATATAACAATACTTAAATGCATTTTATACGTTGCTGATCATGATCTGGTCTGATGACTCACACTTTGAGATAAAAAAAATAAAATTCAAATTTTACTATATGCATAATAATGACAGTAAATGTAGCCTATGATGAATGTATTACTCTACCTTACTGACTGTAGTAGGAACAGCATTGGTGAATGCAAACTCTTCTTTCAATCGCAGAAAATGATACCAATGTGAAAATTGGATACCCTGTATGGATAAGACACGGTTTTATTTTTGTAATTTACAGGCATGCATCGCCTTGCATTACATCTCAAAGCACACGTTAAACCCAGAGAATATAATTTATTGACTGACAGTTTCAATCAATTAGGTTTCTCTTAACATTTTCATGAATCCTTCAGAAAAGTTTGGAAGGATGGAATCGGAAATACAAATGATAAATTTATAAGATAAGGATTGTATAGTACATATATTCATCAACTTGTTTTGTTTTTCTTGCTATTTTATGTTTATTGTTTATTGTAATTTTCACCACATATCACATACCCTTATCTTATTAAGTTCAAACAAGTAGTTTATAAAATGTGTCCATTCATACCTTAAGAACCAATGAAACTCTGTCTTCTGTCTCCTGGGAGGTGAGTTCTACGAAAAACACCACAGAATCTGGCTTTCTGTAAACAAATTGGAAAGGAATATGCTGTGATTGCATATAAATAATTATGAATGTTCACATTCAACTATTGGGCCTAGTGAATAAAAACAAAAGAAACTAAATATGATCCTGAGAGGGCAGGTATTCAAGAAATTACAAGTTAAAACTGTAGTCTATATATAAAGTATTTCTTTCTCGTGGCAAGGGATTGAGTCATGGAAGTACTGTGTCCTTATTATTTGGTTTAAAAACACTTACATAGCTAGATCATTTCACAATGTTCCTACATGCTTTGAAAGTAAAATCAGAGGTCATTTACCTGTGTACTGGACTGAGTGCAGTAATTTCACCATGTAATGTAACACTCCTAGTAAGATTATAATTATTTCTGAAATAAACAGAAGATTGTATTTTAAATATTTCACATTTGTTTAGCATTGAAATAATAAATAATTCAAGCTCCACAAACATCTTGTAGTTCTTGAATTTTGTAAATCAAACAATTGACTTTTTATGCAGTGCAGGGTATCATACCAAGCAGTACGAAGACTGTTAAATTTCCTATGACCTTCTATTACCAGTACATGCCATCACTTTCACACAAATACAATTACCCTTTGTGTTCCATTGTCAACTTTTGGCACCAGCATCAAAATCATTGTGTACAGTCTGTTCCTCCCCACATGAAATGTTGAAGAAAACTGACAAATGTTTTGGTCAAAAATTAAAATATCTGCACTGAATTTTGGACGGGAAAAACAAAACAGTTTCCATTACGAATGTTGAAGCACATGGACTGTAAACGTTATACACTTTAATTAATTCGTACTGTGGTTTTTGAGAAGATAGTTGCTATGCATGTCATGTGACCAATTAGCTATAATTACTAACCATTCTTTTCACTTTCAAGAATTTAAAAAATGTGGGTGACAAATAAAAAACAGCATAAGAAAAATAATTCAAGCAATACAAAATAAAAACAAGATTTTTTTTCTGAGATATGTATGTGAAACAACAATTGAATAGCTGCACCTGTTGTCAAGGATACGCAGTGCTAGTGTGGTGGAGATTACTTGCAATCCTTTCATATTTGAGTGACTCTCTTGTAACATTTCCATAGGCAAACACCTGTCTGATATTTCAAGATAACAGCTGCCTTCAAACCCTGGAAGATACGTTCAATACAATGAACACTGATTGTTTCTTTGATGCCTCTGTGAAGTTTAAGCCATGAGGATCAGACTCTCAATAAATAAATCAATCATCATCTTTATTCACTAAATATATGCTCTGTCTGAGCCTAGTGTTGATTCTTTTGCTTTTATATGAGCACACTTAATAATCTTAATTTTGCTGTTAATTCTTTTGTTTTTATATTCACGCAGTCAGAGACCTAATAGTTCATTTTGTAGTTTAAAGCATATTTAATCCTTTAAACTTTTTAGTGTATTTTTCAATAATTTTCCATTAATGTTTGGATCAAATGGATTCATATAAATTTGGCTTGAATATGAAAAAAAAATATATTCTGGTAATGCAAGATTAATTTGTGAAAGGAAATGAAAGTAGACTTTGGTATTTAAAGAAGCACTCATAATCATATAACTTACATTCACCAGTCTGTGGATATTTGATTTGTCTTATTTTAATTTCAGCTAAGCTATACAAACTTACCTTTTGGCAGAATAAAATTCCAGGTAGGAATTATAACCCACTGATCTAACCATGAAAAATCAACAGTGATAAACTGTAGAAAGAAAACAAAGAAATAATGATTTATTAAATACTACAAAATATTCACTCGAAAAACAGTCCAGTTGTCACTCGGGTAATCTGTTTATAAAAAAGTTAATTTTTTTTTAAATTCATGTGTAAGTTACAAAATACCATAAGCTGTGCTCCATCATAATACTTCATACTTTTAGAAAGACAAATCAGAAAAATGTGAACTACTGTAAAATACTTTATTTTCGCTGAAATCAATTTTTGCTGAAAAGACGTTTTGGATGTTTTGTATGGAATTTTTCACTGATTTTTGATGAGTTGAAAATAAAGTATTTTGCAGTACAAAATTTTCTTCCAATCATTTTTCAATTTTGGGGGCAATTTTTTTTCAAAACCAATGAACATTAAAGAAAATTGAAGTTATTGAGGATTTTAATTTTAAAAGATTTGAATTGGCTTGCATATTTAAGTTGACTGGTTTGGAAAGTGATAATTTCAGCTGATATGCAGTGACATTGAGGGGTAATAGAGATTGAGGGGTAATAGAGATTGAGGGGTAATAGAGATTGAGGGAAGTATAGACTGATGTGCAGTAGACGTTGAGGGGTAATAGAGATTGAGGGGTAATAGAGATTGAGGGGTAATAGAGATTGGGGGGAGTATAGGCTGATGTGCAGTAGACATTGAGGGGTAATAGAGATTGAGGGGTAATAGATATTGAGGGGTAATAGATATTGAGGGGTAATAGAGATTGAGGGGAGTATAGGCTGATGTGCAGTAGACGTTGAGGGTAATAGATTATTTAGGGGTAATAGAGATTGAGGGGAGTATTAGCCTGATGTGCAGTAGACGTTGGGGGTAATATATATTGAGGGGTAATATAGATTGAGGGGTAATAGAGATTGAGGGGAGTACCAGCCTGATGTGCAGTAGACGTTGAGGGGTAATAGAGATTGAGGGGAGTATAAGCTGATGTGCAGTAGACGTTGAGGGTTAATAGAGATTGAGGGGTAATAGAGATTGAGGGGAGTATAGACTGATGTGCAGTAGACATTGAGGGGTAATAGATATTGAGGGGTAATAGAGATTGAGGGGAGTATAGACTGATGTGCAGTAGACATTGAGGGGTAATAGACGTTGAGGGGTAATAGATATTGAGGGGTAATAGAGATTGAGGGGAGTATAGGCAGATGTGCAGTAGACATTTAGGGGTAATAGATATTGAGGGGTAATAGAGATTGAAGGGTAATAGAGATTGAGGGATAATAGATATTGAGGGGTAATAGAGATTGAAGGGAGTATAGCCTGATGTGCAGTAGACGTTGAGGGTTAATAGATATTGAGGGGTAATAGAGATTGAGGGGTAATAGAGATTGAGGGGAGTATAGACTGATGTGCAGTAGACATTGAGGGGTAATAGAGATTGAGGGGTAATAGATATTGAGGGGAGTATAGACTGATGTGCAGTAGACATTGAGGGGTAATAGATATTGAGGGGTAATATAGATTGAGGGGAGTATAGACTGATGTGCAGTAGACATTGAGGGGTAATAGTTATTGAGGGGTAATAGATATTGAGGGGAGTATAGGCTGATGTGCAGTAGACGTTGAGGGGTAATAGATATTGAGGGGTAATAGAGATTGAGGGGAGTATAGACTGATGTACAGTAGACATTGAGGGGTAATAGAGATTGAGGGGTAATAGAGATTGAGGGGTAATAGATATTGAGGGGTAATAGAGATTGAGGGGAGTATAGGCTGATGTGCAGTAGGCGTTGAGGGGTAATAGATATTGAGGGGTAATAGAGATTGAGGGGAGTATAGGCTGATGTGCAGTAGACGTTGAGGGGTAATAGATATTGAGGGGTAATAGATATTGAGGGGTAATAGAGATTGAGGGGAGTATAGGCTGATGTGCAGTAGATATTGAGGGGTAATAGACGTTGAGGGGTAATAGAGATTGAGGGGAGTGTAGGCTGATGTGCAGTAGATGTTGAGGGTAACAAATATTGAGTGTAACAGATATTGAGGGGTAATAGAGATTGATGGGAGTATAGGCTGATGTGCAGTAGAAATTGAGGGGTAATAGATATTGAGGGGTAATAGAGATTGAAGGGTAATAGAGATTGAGGGGTAATAGAGATTGAGGGGAGTATAGGCTGATGTGCAGTAGACGTTGAGGGGTAATAGATATTGAGGGGTAATAGAGATTGAGGGGAGTATAGGCTGATGTGCAGTAGACATTGAGGGGTAATAGATATTGAGGGGTAATAGAGATTGAGGGGTAATAGAGATTGAGAGGAGTATAGGCTGATGTGCAGTAGACGTTGAGGGGTAATAGATATTGAGGGGTAATAGATATTGAGGGGTAATAAAGATTGAGAGGCTGATGTGCAGTAGACGTTGAGGGGTAATAGATATTGAGGGGTAATAGAGATTGAGGGGTAATAGAGATTGAGGGGAGTACAGGCTGATGTGCAGTAGACGTTGAGGGGTAATAGAGATTGAGGGGAGTATAAGCTGATGTGCAGTAGACGTTGAGGGTTAATAGAGATTGAGGGGTAATAGAGATTGAGGGGAGTATAGACTGATGTGCAGTAGACGTTGAGGGGTAATAGAGATTGAGGGGTAATAGAGATTGAGGGGAGTATAGACTGATGTGCAGTAGACATTGAGGGGTAATAGATATTGAGGGGTAATAGAGATTGTGGGGAATATAGACTGATGTGCAGTAGACATTGAGGGGTAATAGATATTGAAGGGTAATAGATATTGAGGGGAGTATAGGCTGATGTGCAGTAGACATTGAGGGGTAATAGATATTGAGGGGTAATAGAGATTGAGGGTAGTATAGACTGATGTGCAGTAGACATTGAGGGGTAATAGATATTGAGGGGTAATAGATATTGAGGGGAGTATAGGCTGATGTGCAGTAGACGTTGAGGGGTAATAGATATTGAGGGGTAATAGAGATTGAGGGGAGTATAGACTGATGTACAGTAGACATTGAGGGGTAATATAGATTGAGGGGTAATAGATATTGAGGGGTAATAGATATTGAGGGGAGTATAGGCTGATGTGCAGTAGACATTGAGGGGTAATAGATATTGAGGGGTAATAGATATTGAGGGGAGTATAGGCTGATGTGCAGTAGACGTTGAGGGGTAATAGATATTGAGGGGTAATAGAGATTGAGGGGAGTATAGCCTGATGTGCAGTAGGCGTTGAGGGGTAATAGATATTGAGGGGTAATAGAGATTGAGGGGAGTATAGATTGAGGGGTAATAGACATTGAGGGGTAATAGATATTGAGGGGTAATAGAGATTGAGGGGAGTATAGGCTGAGGGGTAATAGATATTGAGGGGTAATAGAGATTGAGGGGAGTATAGGCTGATGTGCAGTAGACGTTGAGGGTAACAGATATTGAGTGTAACAGATATTGAGGGGTAATATAGATTGAGGGGAGTATAGGCTGATGTGCAGTAGAAGTTGAGGGGTAATAGATATTGAGGGGTAATAGATATTGAGGGGAGTATAAGCTGATGTGCAGTAGACGTTGAGGGGTAATAGATATTGAGGGGTAATAGAGATTGAGGGGAGTATAGGCTGATGTGCAGTAGACGTTGAGGGGTAATAGATATTGAGGGGTAATAGAGATTGAGGGGAGTATAGGCAGATGTGCAGTAGACATTGAGGGGTAATAGAGATTGAGGGGTAATAGAGATTGAGGGGAGTATAGGCTGATGTGCAGTAGACGTTGAGGGGTAATAGATATTGAGGAGTAATAGAGATTGAGGGGAGTACAGGCTGATGTGCAGTAGACATTGAGGGGTAATAGATATTGAGGGGTAATAGATATTGAGGGGAGTACAGGCTGATGTGCAGTAGACATTGAGGGGTAATAGATATTGAGGGGTAATAGATATTGAGGGGTAATAGAGATTGAGGGGAGTATAGGCTGATGTGCAGTAGATATTGAGGGGTAATATATATTGAGGGGTAATAGAGATTGAGGGGTAATAGAGATTGAGGGGAGTACAGGCTGAGGGGTAATAGACGTTGAGGGGTAATAGAGATTGAGGGGAGTATAAGCTGATGTGCAGTAGACGTTGAGGGGTAATAGATATTGAGGGGTAATAGAGATTGAGGGGTAATAGATATTGAGGGGTAATAGACGTTGAGGGGTAATAGAGATTGAGGGGTAATAGAGATTGAGGGGAGTATAGACTGATGTGCAGTAGACATTGAGGGGTACAGGCTGATGTGCAGTAGAGATTGAGGGGTAATAGATATTGAGGGGTAATAGATATTGAGGGGTAATAGAGATTGAGGGGTAATAGAGATTGATGTGCAGTAGATATTGAGGGGTAATAGACGTTGAGGGGAGGGTAATAGATATTGAGGGGTAATAGAGATTGAGGGGTAATAGAGATTGAGGGGAGTATAGGCTGATGTGCAGTAGAAATTGAGGGGTAATAGATATTGAGGGGTAATAGAGATTGAGGGGAGTATAGCCTGATGTGCAGTAGGCGTTGGGGGGTAATAGATATTGAGGGGTAATAGAGATTGAGGGGAGTATAGGCTGATGTGCAGTAGACGTTGGGGGGTAATAGATATTGAGGGGTAATAGAGATTGAGGGGTAATAGAGATTGAGGGGAGTACAGGCTGATGTGCAGTAGACGTTGAGGGGTAATAGAGATTGAGGGGAGTATAAGCTGATGTGCAGTAGACGTTGAGGGTTAATAGAGATTGAGGGGTAATAGAGATTGAGGGGAGTATAGACTGATGTGCAGTAGACGTTGAGGGGTAATAGAGATTGAGGGGTAATAGAGATTGAGGGGAGTATAGACTGATGTGCAGTAGACATTGAGGGGTAATAGATATTGAGGGGTAATAGAGATTGAGGGGAGTATAGACTGATGTGCAGTAGACATTGAGGGGTAATAGATATTGAAGGGTAATAGATATTGAGGGGAGTATAGGCTGATGTGCAGTAGACATTGAGGGGTAATAGATATTG